AATCACTGGAGTAATATTTCCATTTGAAACTACATAAAATAAGCAAGCAGTTATTTAAAATTGTAATAAAAATTTAACAATTTATTTATTTTTTTACATTTAATAAATGCTGCCTTGATAAGCCTTGATAATTTTCTTAAAAAAAAAAACATGAAAAAAAACTGACCCCAAACTTTGGACCAGTAGTGTACATGCATATTCGTTTTTTGATTTCTTACTATTACAATGCACTAAATGCAAATAGCTGAATATTTTTATTTTCTCTCAAACACAAACAGCCTGGAAAGTTACCAGACCACGATTTGAAAACGGCTTTCATACGTTATAATCCATCCTCTGACTAATGATTTTGGCTCTACTATGCTATATAAAAAGAGGGTTAAAAATATCCCTAAAAATTGAATCAAATAAATAAAAGTAAAAAAAATGGGCAGAATTGCTATATAAGATTAAGAAAGTACTGAAAAAGACAACACACTTCATGTATTAAATATGCATAAAACTATCAAGTGCACATGAAAAAGAAAGCAAATCTGCACATTTGAATAACCAGTAGGCTATCAGACAGTGAGGAGGAGGAAAGGACAAGTACCAACACCCGAGTAACGCTGCTGAGCAACTGCGTCATCTCGTCTAAATCAAGAACACTGAGCTAAAGGCACATGCTGACTAAAGAGAATTAATGGCATGGACAAAAGAAAATGAATGGAAGTGCTTTTTTTCCTCCCGGCGTTTACCATTGGCTCCAATCCAACTCATGAATCTTTATTAGTTATATGCAAAAAAAGATGAAGTGCATGATACTTATAAGACCTAAATGGAAACCATAGGTCCTCTACAGCGCTGCGATTCACAGCCTATAGAGCAGAAGCGATAGACGCTATGGTTTTGACGGCTCTCTAAGTACCTGCTGTTTTCCTCCAAGAGCTGTGCTTTTTACCGCTCTTCTCTTCCTCTTGGCCTGTCATGAGTGATTTCTTATCTGGTGGGGGCTGAAAAATAAAGCCTGTTTTTTTTTTTCTTCTCTTCTCTTGATAACACTTCTTAAAGAGCTCTATCGTGGTCATGCAGGTGTGTATTACACAGAGAAAAGAGGAGGTGAGTGAGCGAGAGCCTGATGTTAATCCCCGCAGGCGAAGGAGACAAATCACAAAAACAAACTGATGAATGACTGCCACATTTCCGGTGAGATTTCACATTTAGCCGGCAGGACGGACGGACATGTGCGGACATTAGAGGCACAGAGAAATGAAGGGATGACTGATCGAACTGGTCCATGGGAACCCAGGACCCCACACTGACTTCAATGACGGCCAAATCCATCAGGGTGCAAAGTGGGGTGACATTTCAGTTACTTACCGTAGAACAGGTGAGACAAGGGGAATGTTTTAAATACAGAGTAAAATATGTTCAAGGGATAATTTGCCCAAAAATTAAGACTTTTCAACATCAGTAGGGTCCAAAAACAGAGTTCACACTTCAAAATAAATTCTCCAAAACATTGTTTTTGCAGCAACGCCATAGTAGAGCCATTTTCAAATATTCAAAGAAACTTTAAGTAAAGAGTTATTAAAAATATATTTATTTTCTTTAGGTTTTAATTTATTGTCTTCAGATTTGAGATTTGAGTCTTATGGGGAATTAAAAGGTGCTGCATTATAAATGGCTTTTCATGGAAACACTGATGCAAATAAAGAACCTTTATTTTTAAGTGTGTTAAACCCTCTTAAACAGAGTAAAGAATAAGAATGTTTCTTTAAAATCTCTTTTTAAAGCGGATAGAATGACCTTATTTATTTTTGGGTGAAATGTCACTTTAAAACTGATGCTAGCTATTGTACATATACATGGAATATGATCATATCAGTAAGTACACTCACATGCGCTCCATTAAGTTGAGTTGTTTGTGTGTTTGAATGATTTTGGTCTCTGCTGTCTTTAAGGACATAAACACATACACATTCATTTCAAATCTAATCGGAAGGTCACTTTACCTAGATTTTGCAGTCTTTTGTGAAGAAGCTATCATTATATCATGTACTGATACAAAAACATCACGTATATTTAATCTACTAAAAAGTGTTTTTTTAAAAAAAAAAAATCCTAAACTATTTTTTATGGTTTCTATTGTAACTTACTTCACTTTGGGATTAGTCAGACAACCTTATCACGTTTACAATTAGTTCAAAATGCTGCTGCAAGGCTTTTAACAGGTACCAAAAAACACGACCACATTACACCAGTTTTACGCTCTTTGCACTGGTTGACTATGCACTGAGTCACTTCTCTTAATTTTTAGGTCTCTAACTTATGTGTAAATGGGGGCGTAAGTCGAGGCTGAAATGTAGAGGTGACCGTGCTTTCGCAGTAGTTGGTCCTAGGTTGTGGAATGCTCTGCTCTCTCTGGATTAGATCTGTTTAATCTCTGTCTATTTTTAAATCTAGGTTGAAAACTTACCTCTTTGATTTGGCATTTTATCAATGAAAATTGTTTGTTTTAGCTATAATTTAACATTTTTCTTTGTTGTGATGTGTACAGTATTGTGCAGCACATTGGTCAACCTCTGGTTGTGTTCTAAAAATGTAATCAAAAATATCATCAAATACATAGTGTATGCTACTGTCCAAAGTCTGTTCAATTTTTTTTATTTTAATTTAAAAAACTGCATGCTAAGCAAACTAGTAAAAAAAAAAACAATGTAAAATTAAATCTTTTTAGCTTTAATTTTTATACATACATTTATTATTAAACATATGTTTACTTTATATATGTTCCGCTTCCTCAAATTTGTGTTTAAATGGATTTTTTTTCTCTAAATAACATCATACAGTATATTCTCTCAACCTCACATATAAACAGATCCCATGCTAGGATAGTAATAGATGTCACACTACTTTTGTTACTGTATCAAATTTGTCTTCTTTATAAACATGTACTTTAATATTTGTTGATATATATTTATTTTACCCTTTACTTATAGTTAAGTTATAATAGTATTCCTATTATGATTGTATAATAGTATAGTACAGTATAACTAAAAAATGATATTATGCTTTGATTAATACCATTACTATTTTTGAAGAGTACCAGGATTGGTTAAGATTGCGTTGGGCTTACAAAGTTTTTGTAATACTGTAAAACTCAAAAGTCACTGAGAATATATATATATATATATATATATATATATATTAGGGGTGTAATGATTTATCGCTGTACGATTTATTGCGATGCAAAAATGTCACAATATGCATCAGGGCGTTATGACGATTTCATTACGATACAACGTCCGTTTTCTCTTATTAGTTGAGCTGTTAGCACGAGAGCTACGTTCCACCTGCTGTCGCACGCGAGTTCAGATTGCAGCAGCAGTAATGTTAGCAGACCAAGATGAGTGGAGCTGAAATAGAGGATGGCCCATCCTCTCAAAATCAGACGTCTGTCAAAATCAGACGAATTATAATTCGACTAGTCAGAATGACAATTAGAGATATCTGCAATTACAATTGTACTAGTACGAAATCAGATTAGAGATATCTGCAAATATATTATGACTAGTCATTCCTCCATTGACTTCCATTGAAAAATATTTGCAGATATCTCTAAATGAGTTTTGACTAGTCACAATTGTAATTAGAGATATCTCTAAATTAATTAATTAAATATGAATTAAATATATTTATGGATAGTCAGAACAAAGGTTTAAATGCTAAAACTGCTTGCCATACGCGCGCGTCTGCTTCAGTGAACAGAACCTGCAGGTTGTGACTAATAAAGTAGTAAACAACATTCAGTTTGTGGAACAGAGTGATCGTTCAGGAGCCGCGTGGAAAGTATGAACAGCACTTAGCAGTGGAAATGAAACTGAAAACGTACACATTATTTAAACAATCATATCGCATTTTAGAGTTATGATTACGACGAGCATGAACTCTTTTGAGTACAGAGGTACACAAAAATGCACGTCAACATGATACACTTGATAGCGCCGACATCAGCGACGCCGAAGAAATAGTAAACCTGCCTAAACTGCTGAAAAGAGTCACGACTGTCCTGTGTAATAAAAAGACGGCCACCCTGTCACTCATTATGCCCAACATGAAGACAGCCATCCATAAAAACCTCTCAGACAGATACACATCAGTTCAGGATTATCTTATAGAACTGCTGATTACCTGGAAATGTGGATTTTTTTTGCACACACAAAAAACGCAAGTGACCAAGCAAAGCCTTAAGCTCTTACTGTTAAATTCAATTGAATAGAAAGCTTTTTTTTTTTGCACCTTTACTTAAATTGTTCCTTAATTTTGTCTCTGTCATTTCAATAATATTTTTAAAGAAGTTTTTAAAATGTTTTATTTTCCAGAGACAGGCCTGTTTAATTTATTTTCTTAAAGAAGGTTTAGTTTAACAAGTTGAAACAAAAGAAATACATAAAAAATAGTTTACTTGGTAAAATTTGCATTTCAGTTTAATTTTCAATTTTTATTCCAAATATCGTGATACATATCGAATCGTGAACATTATATCGTGATACACATCGTATCGTGAGCTGAGTGTATCGTTACACCCCTAATATATATATATATATATATATATATATATATATATATATATATATATATATATATATATATATATATATATATATATATATATATATATATATATATAGTAGAAAAAAGTATTTAAATGATTTAAAACTTTTTTGTGTATTTATTTTTTAGTTTTAAATGTTTATAAGAGTGCATGTAAATGTACTTAGTGATGACTGTGACTGACTGTTCCCCTCTCCCAAAGACTCAAAGCAGACATAATGAATAAACAGTGAGTTTTAATGCAAATTCTCCCACTTGGCTGCTTTTTAATTCAGACTCAGGCAAAACACTTCATCAAATCACTATGGAAACTACAGCAATGACTACTTCAGCTATCAGACATTACCATATATGAGAAATGGTTTTAATTTCAATGTTTTTACTCGCAAGAAGAGTCGGCTTACCTGGGCGAGATGTCGCACCCCTGCTGCATGAAGGCACCGAGTGAGAACCAGAGACTGTTGAAGATCCCGAACTCATTGGGGGGCTGGTCGCTGGGCAGACCGTCAGTGCCCTCTTCGGGCTCCTCGGTGTGCCACTCATACGGGCTGAAGCGGCTGACCAGGAAGAGCACCACGCTCACGCCTATATAGGCGAACACGATGCACATCCAGATCTCGTAGGCCAGTGGGTCCAGGAAGGAGAAGACACCCGGCTTGGACTTTTGAGGCTTCTTGATCATGATGGAGATGCCCAAGCTCATGAAGGGTTTCGAGAAGTCAATAACCTCCTCCCGGACCAAAGTTATAGTCAATGGGGCCACAGCGATTTCCGCTTTCTAGAAATAAAAGATAGACAGTGTAGAGTGGTTAGTGTGCTTTATTCTTCAATAACAACCACCTAAATTTACTTTACCCCACTTACTACAAGGCTACTTAATACAACAACGTAAAAATTAAACACAAAACATTGTTCAGACTTGTAATAGTTCTTTAAATAAACACAAACCTGACAGAAATGAAAACAGCTGAGTGGAGCATACACTAACCTACACATTTTTGGTTACATGATGGAGCCAAAAAGTCAAAAACAGTGGCAGGACAGACTAGTATATAAGTATAGATATTTATTGACGGTTAAGATAATTTGAAGTACCTGGATGAGCCTGTGCTGTTAGTTTCAGCGGCTGTTATCTGGGAATAGCATACCTTGGAATGTTTGACCAATTAGAATCAAGTATTACAGACAGCAGTGTAGTAATTTGCAATAACAACGGTCTAATAGGCATGAATTTGGATTTTACTATGATTAAAAAATGCTGTACAAGTATTTTTCATTATTAGTTTATGTTAATAAACAAATGAACTAAAATGGAGTAAGGAAATTTTATTGTAAAATGTGACCTGATTGTCAATGGGGCCACAGCAATTTCCTCTCTCTGGAAAAAAAAGTGTGCTTCGTATCAATCTTGATATTTAATCACACGAGAGTTAGCTATGCAAACTTGTTTAAAAGCAAAACATACATAATGACTTAGCTGGGTTTATACAGTAAATATTTGCTGGCATTTCATATCTTCACATTTTCAGTTATTTTAATGCTGTACTAAGAGGAGAATGAAAAGAGAAACATAACAAAGCACAATCTGCTGATTCCTACTTCTCCTCACATCATATTGTACAACTTCTTTAATTGAACAAGGCTTTGCATATTAATGCCAAAAAATCCAAGAAGTTAATCCAAAAGGCTTAATACTGAGGTTGTGTTTGGTGGAGAGGGATAAACTAATCAATGCAAAAAAAAAAAAAGATGCTTACAGCACAAAGCAGACTGTAGAGTCTAAAGTCAGGCTGCACGTTTTGCTGCACGGTAAATCCAAAAACTAGATTATTGTTGGTGACTTAGTGACACTTTAGGCCTCAGCAGGGCTGTGCACGACTAATCCAAAAAAGAAATTAAAGTTTCTCATAACTGGTCGACACTTTCAAGAGGAAAGCAAAACTTTGGCTTGTGTGTTTTCTAGTGCTCAGCAAAATCTACAAAATGACACTGGCTGTAAGCAGCGGTCATTAATAAACGTCTAAAGCCTCTTAAAGGTTCTTGTCTTTCTTTTTCTTTCTTTTTTCTCCACCAGAAACAACTTAAAGTTTTCAGTGAAAGCTGACAATTTATTCTCACATATACATCATACATATATAATTGTGAAATAATATTACATTTGTTTGATACATTTTTTTGTTAAAGTAATAATTCTCACTATTGAAGAGATAGTTCACCAAAGTTCACTTTTTTTTTCTTTTTTTGAACAAAGAAGAAGATATTTTGAAAAATGCTGGATGCTGGGACCCATTGACTTCCATAGTACTTGTTTATTTCCTTCTCTGGAAGTCAATAGGTGCAGCAACAGCATTCTTTAAAATATCAGAAGAAAGACACTCATACTGTAAATGTTTAAAACCACACGAGAGAGAGTAAATGATGAGGTAATTAAAATTTTTGGGTGAACTATCCTCTTTAACTAGTGGTTTAATTCCCTGCATATTATTAGAATAGGAAAGTACATTTTCTGTATGATCTTATTGTACATCTCTTATCCTGCTGTACTTTAATTATTTAACTACTTTAATTATTACCTACTACCATTACAATTAATAAGGAGCAAATTAGAATTTTACTGAGTCAGAAGTAATAGTTAATGGTTTATTAATAACTAGATTTGTACCTTAATAAAGTCTTACCCATTTTTTAATTAAAACATTTGTATTTTAATATACAGATATGGCAGAAATGAGGAGACAACTTTCTCAGTTTATTATAATTATGTAATTAAATTTGGAAGAAATACCATCAGACTTTTGCAGATAAAACAACAACTGCTAATTTTTTACTCAAACCCATACCTAACAGACACAGTAAATTCAGAGATAACAACAGATCTCTTGATTTGTTTCTAAACTGTATTTTAAAACACAAAGCTCAATTTTCCGTGTTCAGTGTCACATGATCCTCCAGAAATCATTCTAATATTATGATCTGCTGCTCAGCAAACATATAAAATATGTTTGAACGATATTAAAATAATTTTGGGGGGATTTTCATTGTGAAAGTTCTATACTTAATTTAAAGTAACATTTAATTTAAACAGTGTATCTGTTGTTATGAATAACTATTAAGCAGCATTTCCGCTGCACAATACATTCCGACACGACTGTCAGAATAAGCCCCCTTGTGGCAGTCGCACTGAATATTCAGTTTTGTCATGCACAATGGGAAGCTGATTCTCGTGTTGGTGTGCGAAATAAGAGTGCAAATGCAAGAGCATTTTTTCTACGTGTGTTCACCATGGCTGAACGAATGAATGAATTTATGATTACTGGAAACTCATCATAGACTGCTAAAAGTTTTGGAGGGAATGTGGAGACAAGATTAAAAAGAATATTATTATTACTTATTTATGAATATAATTTTTTTTAATATAGACTTTGTTCTGATTTTAAAAAATTACGGAAAACTCCTATTACTCATCTCGTGCGCACAGACCTGCTAAGACAACACTGGAATACATCACATCCGGTCGTCCAGTCGCATACGGTCTAGTCGCGGGAGTTATTTTATTTCTAGAATTAATATTTTATTTTATTAATATTTTATTTTTATTTTGAGTCGCAGCTCAAATCGGATCAGAATTTTCAGCATACGGAGATGATCGGAGCTCCACGCAGCTCCCGGACTCCTCTGCATTGGAAATGAATGACTTCCGGTCTAACGCTTGTCGTTTGTCATGTGCATTGGAAAGGTGGCTTTACTTTTGTTAAAATAAAACAAATAATTATTGCTGAATTATCGTATAAATATCTTAATCAATCAATCAATCAATCACACTGACCTCAAACATTTTAAATTACGGGAGATTTTAGGAAAAATTTTAGGAAAGCATTAAAACAAGAAATGAATGGCAAAACAGCCAATATTAAGCATGTCCATCAAACAATCAAATGTCATTTATAAATCTAATGCTAATGTCAGACAATTGCAAAAAAGGAAAATGCTTTACCCCGTACACCAGCTCCCCGACCATCCCGTTCCAGATCTTAGTCTCTGGGTCTCGAGCTCCGTACTTTCCATCAGGCACGATGGAGATCTTATACTTGAAACCGATGTGTTTGGCAATTTCAGATGCCAAATCCACACAGTATCCCTCATATTGCTCATTCCCCTCGTACATTTCCCAGTTTTTCTTCAGCATTACATACGGCCCTTCCTAAATGAACAAAACAGAGCACTTTCAATGGGCAGCATGTCACACTTCTAAACAAAACAAACATGTTCAAAGTGGTTGTAAACCTGCTATACATTTCAAATATGACTTATTGTGAAGGTATAGACGAACAAAGCTGCTTTTTAGATCTTAATGAACATAAATTACAGTCTTTATGTTCTCATGTACTAATCAAATGTTAGCCATAAAGAAACAATGAAAATATAGTTTTTTCTTTAACATAAGTCAATATGTCCTCACATTCCCTAATAAAGTATTATCAAACACTTTTAAAATATCCCAAAGGCTTTATGAAACCATAACAAAGGGTTCATACAAGTATTGAAATATCACATAAGGCATATAAAGATAATTACAGTCATTATAGGTTTGCGTGTGCTTATCAAATGCTAGCCATAAGAAAACAATGAAAATAAATATAGTTTTTTTACATAAAAGTCAACATGTCCTCATATTCCTCAATAAAGTATTATCAAACCCTTTTAAAATTTCACAAAGGCTGTATGGAACCATAACAAAGGGTTTATACAAGTATTGAAATATCCCATAAATCATATAAAGATAATTAAAGCCATAAAGAAACAATGAAAATATCATTTTTTCCCTTTAACATAAGTCAACATGTCCTCACATTCCTTTAAGTATTATCAAGCACATTTAAAGTATCACAAAGGCTTTATGAAACCATGACAAAGGGTTCATACAAGTATTGAAATGTCACATAGGCATAAAAAGATAATTACAGTCATTAGGTTTGCATGTGCTAATCAAATGCTAGCCATATACAGTAGAAACCTTTCGCTGCAAAAAAGGCTTTTCTTACTTAGAGTTTATATCTTATTTCTAGTCCAAATATCTAGGAATTTTCAAGCAAAAGACAAGCAAAAAATAGTCACGTTTTCAGAAATAATATATCAAAATTAAGTGAGTAACAAGCAAAATAATCTGCCAAATAATTTAGCTTTTTTTCTATTTGACAGAAGAATACTTTGACAGAATATTTAGCTTGTTTCAAGGAAAAACTAGCCTAATTTTGACATATTATTCCTTAAAACAAGACAATATTTAGTTTGTTAATAAAATGCTTCCAGATTTAATCATTTTTAGATATTTAGACTAAAAATCAGACAACAACAACAACAAAAAAATGTAAGAAAATAATTTTTGCAGCTTTTGAATTATCAAACAAAGGGTTAATACAAGCATTAAAGCACCCAAAACGTGCATTGTGTGTTGTACGTTTCAAAGCAATAAAAACTACCATATAAAATTCATTAGGTTTGCATGTGCTGATCAAATGCTAGCCCTATAAAGACCTTTCACTGCAAAAAAGTTTTTTTGTCTCACTACTAGTCCAAATATCTAGGAATTCTTAAATCAAGAAGCATTTTCTAGACAAGCAAAAAATATTGTCTCGTTTTCAGAGAGTATGTCAAATTAAGTGAGTTTTTCACTTAAAACAAGCTAAATAATCTGCCCAATAATCTTGTTTTTCATTTTGACATAAGAATATTTTGAATACCCTATTGGCAGATTATTTAGCTTGTTTTAAAGAAAAACCTGCCTAGTTTTGACATATTTATTCCTTAAAACAAGACACTCTATTTGTTTGTCTAGAAAATGCTGATTTAAGATTTTTGGATATTTGGACTAGAAACCAGACAAAAAAATAATAGCATATTTGGAGTGTTTTAATTGTCAAACAAACGGTTCATGCAAGCATTAAAGCACCCAAAACGTGCATTGTGTATTGTACATGCTTCAAAGCAATGTAAACTGACCTATAAAGTTCATTAAGTTTGCATGTGCTAACAAGATGCTAGCCACATAAAAACCTTTCAATACAAAAAAGATTTTAGTCTCACTACTAGTCCAAATATCTAGGAATTCTTAAATCAAGAAGCATTTTCTTGACAAAAAATATTGTCTCGTTTTCAAAAATAATTTCAAAATTAAGTCAGTTTTCCCATTAAAACAAGCAAAATAATCTGCCAAATAATCTTGTTTTTCCATTTTGACATAAGAATATTTTGCATAACCCATTGGCAGACTATTTAGCTTGTTTTAAGACAAAACTAGCCTAATTTTGACATATTATTCCTTAACAAGACACTCTATTTGTTTTTCTAGAAAATGCTTTTGGATTTAATTATTTTTAGATATTTGGACTAGAAACCAGACATAATTTTTTTTTAAGAAAATAAGAAACACATTTTTGAAGGGTTTTTAAATAATCAAATAAATGGTTCATACAAGCATTAAAGCACCCAAAACGTGCATTGTGTATTGTACATGTTTCAAAGCAATAATAACTGACTCATAAAATTCATCTCCACAATTTATTTAAATTGCTTTGCAAGCCAAACAGCACATTATGGCTAAAGCACATTGGTGCTACAGTTCAGAAGCAAAAAGTAGCTCAGAAAAACCCACACCGCAAACACAAACGGTCATTTTAGTCATCAGCATGATGTACCGTCACAACAAACAATATCTAACACAATACAGGTGCCGTACAGCAGCAAATAAAAATGTTTACTTGCAAGCAGCCGGCAGAGCATTTACATAAAAATCCTGAAAACTTGCTTTCCTTTTACAAATATTTCCTAAGCCATATGGCTAGGCTAAAATGATGAAAGGCAGAAAGCCCAGTAGGGAGAATTAAATATTTCACACACAGCAAATAGAGCTCTCCGCACTGAATGTCAACGGAAGATCCGTTTCATCTCAAATTTGTTTGATGTATGAGAATGCAGCCTTCTCCTCCAATCTTTTTTCACAAGCTCAGGGCAGCGCGATGTTCCTGGGCAGTGTTTTTCTACAGGTAAAAATGGAAATAAAAGGATGTAGTGTTTGTAGCAGGTAACGCCTCGAGCGCGGGTGATCTCTATTCTTGCGTCATGAGGCAGTCATGCAAAATCATGTTCTTACAAAGACCACATCAATTCTTTATCACTCACTACTTAGAAACCTAAAGCGATTATTCATCTTAAAATGGAAACGATCTAAATGTCATATGAGATTCAAAACCCATGACTAGAACCAGACACAACCTGTAGACTTTTTTTTGTTATTTATGTGAAGAATTTTGTAAACCATCTGTAAATTTGTGTGAAATGATTTTGGGAGTATCATAACTAAAAACTTAATATATGAAATAAAAAATAATAATTTCTTTACTTTTATTTAATGTTTACAATGCAAATCCGATTAGATACACTTATTTGGTACACAAAACAAGTGTCTTTTATAATATATCTGCTACAAGACAGATAATATTACTTTACAAACTGTATTCTAAATAAATCAAATGAACATTTTCATCTTAGTCAATAATATCACTGAAATTAATTTAAAAACTCAATAAATATAAATTTACAAACAAGTAAATAAATAGACTAAATGGTGGGCTATAAATCTGTTTATAGTTTCACAGTTTCCTAGCCATTACTTACTTTAATTCATTGGAATACAAAAAGAGACAGTTTGCCATAATAATCAAGCAGCTCCTTTTTGTACATTGAAAGTGAATTTTGCTCAAACTTTAAACCGTTTTATTATGTTTTTTTTATAACACTTTTTTAGACTTTCTTTAGTCATCACTCACCTTTATTGTAATTATCTACATTGAAATAAGTTGGGAGTGGAGACCAAGTTCAATTTTATTCTGTGGCATTTCAGAAGTTGAAATAGAGAAAAAATATTTTTGGTCTTCTTTTATGATACTTTCTAAATGTTTTTTCGTTCTCTAATGCACATTCACCTTCTTTGCATGCTTGGCTTTTCTTTAACACACAATAGTTGTGAACATATATCAAGTCAAATGTCATTCTATGGTTTTATTTGCCATTATAATTATTTTGGACTGCTTTTATTAAATGTTCACGGTGCTTTAGTAGTCTTTGTTCCCTATTTATCTCCAAAGTATATTCAACTTTCTTTATTCCACACAATGAAAGTGAATACTGACCAAGCTACATTTATTTCTCTGACAATATAAAATTTTAAGTACACTGCTAAGTCTGCTTTTATATTTTTCAGCAATATATAGAAAATAAGCATTGTGAACATTCTTAAAAACATCTTTTGTGCTCCACAGAAGAGAGTCATAAAGGTTTGGAAGAAAACAAGAATCAATTTTAATGGACCCTTTAAATTCTGCTGCTATTGTAAATGTAATGTAAAGTACACTTTTAAACTTAACTATTTTTGTCCCACAGAGATGCCATAGAAATGACTAGAGGTGCTTTGTGTGCACTTTTGTTGAACCATTCATTGATCAGTTCATAAAAGTATTATCTTTTTCTTAGTATAAACAACATTTTAATAGTCTAAAGAACATATTTCCACTGTAAAACAAATGGGTGGCAAAGGGATAGTTCACACGAAATTGAAAATTCTGCCATCATTTTCTCACCTTTTACTGGTTGCAAACTTGTTTGACTTTCTTTCATTGAACTCATTGAACATTTTAAAGACAGATGGAAATTTCTACAGTAACTAATGAATTCCATGATATTTGTTTTTTTTCTACTATGAAAGTCAATGGTTACAGGTTTCCAGCTTTTTTTTTAAATATCTTAAATGTTCAACAAAAAAAAAAAACTCAAAGGTTTGTAACCACTTGAAAGTTAGCAAATAATGGGTAATTTTTCATTTTCGGATGAACTATCCCTTTCTACAGTTGGAATCAGAATTGTTAAACTCCCTTTGATTTTTTTTGTCTTTTTTAAATATTTCCCAAATAATGTTTAACATAACAAGGACATTTTCACAGTATGTCTGATGATATTTTTTCTTCTAGAAAAAGTCTTATTTGATTTATTTCGGCTAGAATAAAAGCAGTTTTTAATTTTTAAAAAAACAGTTTTAAGGACAAAATTATTAGCCCCTTTAAGCCATAAAGAAGTGTCTTGAAACATATCTAGTCAAATATTATTTACTGCCATCATGGCAAAGATAAAATAAACCAGTTAGAAATGAGTTATTAAAACTATTATGTTTAGAAATGTGTCGAAAAATTCTTCTCTCCGTTAAACAGAAACTGGGGAAAAAATAAACAGGGGGGCTAATAATTCTGGAGTGTTAATAATTCTGACTTCAACTGTAAATGGAACTATTGGTGCTAATAAAGAACCTTATTTTTAAGAGTGCATACTAGAAAACTTGTATTTCAAAGAATGTCCACGATATCTTAATGGAGACATCATAATGAACGCAATAAACAGCAATCATGATTTCATATACAATATGCCATATTCAAATTCAGCATGCTGTAAAAACCTTGCCCTTCTATTTCAGCACATGTGATATAAATGCTAAAAAAAAAGACTTCCATGAATCCATCCAGTTTTCCAATCCTGCATCCCTACAGGTCTTCTCCACTCATGATCGAGCTGCTTATTAGAGCTTGTCTTTGTCTCTGCGACGGCTCCATTTCTCATTGTGGCATTCATTTAGGCTCAGGTAGCGGTTTCCATGTTTTTGCCCTCAGTTCTGATTTGTCTCTCTGTCTGTCCGCGCTTCAGTGAGCTCTTCCGTTGGCTGCTCAGTTTCTTAATAAGGGGTTCCTCACCAGCGGCTGAAAAGAGGAGGATTTGGCTTCAGCTGCGACACTCCAAAACCTTAGCATTTAGCAAATATGTTTCTCAATGTCCCCTGTATATACATGGAAGACACTCTCTCCTAATACAGAATGTTTCCCAGTCATGCAGTGTTTAATGAGCAAAACAACATAGAGACGAGTCCAAGACGGGTCACTTTTTTTTTGGGGGGGGGGACAGTACACGTGAGGAAGGCAGATGATGCACACGGCTTATTCACAATGCCATGGCAGCACACATTTACACAGCACTGTTGAGAGATGCTATTTAACACACATAAAAGAGCATTACGTTTATCTGAATGGACAGCAGTATGATTGACAGGTCGTACAGAGGAAAGAAAAAAAAGAGTGCTTTGATGAACAGCACGGATCAGCTTTTGAGATTTTTCTGCAGCATTTGCAGATCTGTATCTTTGTGTGTGTGCATGTTATGAAGAAATTCACTGCGAAATGTGCATATTTTTTCCCCCGCCATGTGTATGAGAGGAGCTCTTGGCAAATGGAAGCTTTCAGATGAAGGACAAACACCACAGGTTGTGTTATTGTTAAAAAGTGTGTCAGGAAAGGCTGCTACTCACCATGATAGTCGTCACAATTACGGTTCGATTCTCCATGCCAGACGTTTCGTTGGGAAGCAAGGCGTGATCCTGGGTCAGAACCAGTTTATCAGCATCGTTCCAGTATCCGATCTGGAGACGGGACAAGCGTGAGAATGAGAATCCAGACCCAACTGAGAGCAATTGAACACATGCAAGCATTTCCATATGGGTAAGTGTATGTAAATGTGTGTAAATAATGTGATGACTAAGTTGGGCTAAACTATTATAGTTTTTCCTCAAATGCTTTGGCTCAATTCTCGATTTAAATTTTTAATTTTCAAAACAATAAGTTTAGATTTCTGGACAATTAGCTTATTGTTTACTTCAGAGTGGCAAGTCCTATTGATTTAGGTAAATTGCAAATGCTTTGGCACATGTCTGCAAACAGTAAGTACAACTGTCTGTAGTTTGGATAAAAACTAACTGTGTATGGCGCTGTTGATCAAAACCGATGAGCCGATTCTCATTTAAACTGTCAAACTCTTCACAACTTCTCAATAATTTTTTATTGTGCCACCAAACTCAAATCAATTTACAGTTTTTCTTGTTTGCTTTAACCTGGTTAAAGTTAAACTAGGTTCCACTTCATTTTCATTATCACTATCCCAGCAAAGCAGAAGACATGTCTTGCATATGTGTAAACCCTTTCACATTGTGTTGACACATTTTCCCCACCATTTTTTAAAACAGTTAACACGGATGTCATTCAAGCAGTCCAAACTCTATTGTTTAAGCTATGGTAACCAAATAGAAACCATCTATTCCTAACAAAACTACCAAGATCAGTATGAATTCACTGAAGCACCGGTTTGACACTCCTTCACACAAATCTTTAATTAGCAATCAGTCTGAAAACATCAAATATTATACAGTGGAAGGTCTGTGTTCTGTGCCAGCATGGATGGAGAAGGTAAATAGTGGCTATGTCCTATACTCCCAATAGATTTGACTGTATATTGGTTTACATGTGTTTTCTCTAATATTTACACTATTTTATTACTTTTTGTCTGTTTTTTTTAAGCATTTCAGATTTCAGCCACAGTTCTGGATCCAATTCTTCGCAAAAAGGCAAATTTGACAGCCCAAATAGAAAGACAACAAATGGCATTGGCAATAGGCTACAATGGCAAGCAATAGTACACTGATTCACACTGAGTTCTGTATTTTGTGTTTTATTGTCCATTGTGTAATGATTGATTGAAAAAGCTCATATACTTGTTTGCAAGTTGTGTTGTTTGAAGGTAAAACTAACTTTTGTTGCACATTTAAAACGGTATGTGCTTTTTGCAAGCAAAATATGTCATTTTGACCATGAGTTCGCTGTTTAGGCCTGAGTGTTAACTGTTTTGAAAATGTGGAGTTTTAGTTTACGGCTGGATCAAAGCAATCAAGAAAAACTTTATTCAATTACCAAACATTTGTATTTGTATTGCCATTTTTTGTAATGCTTGCTAAATTGGTAAATGACCTCTAGTTGCAATACAATTTGCGTTATCTATTTATCAGTCAAGTTTGGTAACATGCATATACAGTTGAAGTCAGAATTATTAGCCCCCCTGAATTATTAGCACCTGTTTTTTCCCCCAATTTCTGTCTAAGAGATTTTTTTCAACACATTTCTAAACATAATAGTTTTAATAACTCATTTAATACCTCATTTCTAATTCTTATCATTTCTAAGAAATATGTAATGTAATGTGTATTTATATAGCGCATTTATTGTGTATGGCCATCCAGCGCATTTATTGTGTATGGCCATATAGTGCATTTATTGTGTATGACCATTCATTGTGTATGGCCATACAGTGCTTCAATCATGAGGATATCTCTCAACACCACCACCAGCGTGCAGCATCCACTTGGATGATGCGAAAGCGGCCATAGCACAACGGCGCCAGTGCGCTCACCATACACCAGCTATAGGCTGATTAAAGCCAATTCAGCGGATGGGGATGATTGGGAGGCCATGGTGGTTAAGAGCTGAGAGGGAATTTAGCCTGGACACCGGGGTTACACCCTTACTCTTTACGAAAAATGCAATGGGATTTTTAAGACCACAGAGAGTCAGGACTTCGGTTTAACATATTATCCGAAAGACGGCACTCACTGACAATATAGTGACCCATTTACTTCAATGGGGCATTAGGAATTAACAGATCCCAAGTTGAGCACCCCCCTGCTTGCCTCACTAACACCACTTCCAAAAGCAACATAGTTTTCCTATGTGGTCCCCCATCCAGGTACTGACCAGGCACAGCCCTGCTTAGCTTCTGTGAGTAAATGGTCTTGGGCTGCAGGGTGCTTTGGCCATATCACAACATGAAATATACAATACAGCAATTGGACAAGCAAGACTGCACTTTGCATGTAATACATTTGTACATAAATAAATGTGCTGTATAAATACAAATGTTCATTTATTTTTTTCCTATGTACTATTTATTCTTCTCAACAAATATCAGATTTTTAAAATCTTAATTTTCCATGATTGTCATGGTGAATAACCAACTAATCATTTTGAGCAGTGTGGCTCACACAATGACAAATACACTTTATGTTTTGGTGGTCTTGGCCAAATTACTGACACAATAACTAGGTTTTGAAGCATGCATTAAATGTTTTGGGGAGTAACTACATTTTGCAGACATGCAATAAAGTTCTGAAGTTCCAGCAAACAGTTTTGACATTTGCACTCACAGTTTAGAGAATGTTAAGACTGTTATGAAAAATGTACCAAAGCAATTAAGAAAAATTATAATCCTTTGACAACTGATCTGCAGATTAATAGTCAATGGGGTCTGAAAATAACAGCTTGAAAAAATACATTTAAAATATATTTGTTTCTTTACCAAAGAAATTAAGTCAACTGGGTTTGGAACAACATGTCATTTATTTTGAAGTGAAATATGTTTAAGGCCATTTTAAAGTATAGCATTGTTCAAAACTTTGGGATTGGTAAAGTTAAAAGAAAAGAAAAACAGAAATGAGGAAAAATCAAGAAATCATTTCATTCAATTACAATATTGCAATATATTAAAGAAATAGGAGATGACATGAAAACTTTTAGCTTCTCTGGATATTCTGGAATTAGTATCTAAGGGTTTGAGAGTTTTTTATTCTATAAATGTCTGATAACATTTATTCAAAATTTAAAATTTAAATACTATAAATTTTCCCCCAATGAAATGTAAATGAGTGATTTTTTCCACCAAATACTGATTTCTTAAATTAACATTTGTATTGTGCTGTCTAAAAATAGCCACAAATGAATCTAAAAACATGGCACATTTTAACATAAATTTTTATTTTATATTGCAAAAAGTTTCACTTTACAAAATTAGTTTACTCGAACAAAGTGTAGAATTTAGAAAACAAACTAAGAATTTCCAAAGTGGTTTTTAAATTTTGTCCATAGTTGTGAGTAAATATATCAAATGAATCTTATATTTTTGTAACATTCTATCAAAAAAAAATCAACTAATCATTATTTCTATATCACATTCACAATGTAGATTGTGTTGAAGCAGCATAATATAGAACATATCATAAAATATGAAAAAAAAAAAGCCCATCTATGGTGAGCAGAAGAAACTTTTAAAATCGTACAGACCCCAAACTGAGAGTATTTTCAAAATAAATGTATTGTTTGTAAAGTGTTCATGAAGACCCTAAAGATGAATGTTGTTGTTTCGGCATCTCTGCATGTATGTTTTTGGCTGTGGGGTGAATAACAGTCAGACAGCCTGTGTGTGCCCGTGTCCTTACAGGACCCAGCTGAACGGCAGAAGGAAGAGCCTCAAGCGGGGCTCACGACCGCCTGATAAATGAGTGTCAACCGCTGGCGGCTCGTTCCTGTGCCCATCAGTCTTTCCCCCGGTGCCCTGCTCAACACTCCATAAAGCAGAGGCTCCTCATAACTCCAGAAGAAGGTGTGTGACAGCAGACTTTATGGTACATACAGAGATCTGATGCTAAAACCACCAGACCATTCAAGGCTGACCTTGGTGTATTATTTCCAAGCTGTTCTGTATTACATCTTACACAATTCAGTTACAATTTACAGTGGTCCCTCGTCATAACAGATTTCACCTTTAGCGGTCTCGCAGATTTTTTTTTTGTGCAATTTGACATGCTTTTTTACAGCGCATTGTGTTCTGCTTCCTGATTGGCTGTAGACCATTGTCAATCAATCTCTTCCGTGCCGTGTCTGTTGTACAGTACAGAATACTTTCAGCTTGCCAAATTGACATAAATCATCGATTGCTAGCAGTGTGACCCTGAAGTACTGTACTGTACTGTATGTTAGCAAGTTTTCTCCCCAACAAACCCCACAATGTCGACGAAACATTCTGCATCATCAAAGGCACCCACGGTACCACCCAAAAGGCAGAGGAAGATGCTAGCCATTGCACAAAAAGTTGGACTTCGGGATATGCTAAAGGAAGGCAGAACTTACGAGAGTGTTTAAATAAGAGAGAAAAGTGTGAAAATGTTATTGCTTATTTGAGAAAATAATGTAGTGAAGGGTTTTACAGACTTAAAGAGCCCCTTATTATGGGTTTTTGAAAATAACCTTCCATGTAGTGTGGTTAGGTTTGGGGGTGAGGTGTCTGACTAACACTGTTGAGAACTGGGTACTGTGTACTGTGGTGTTAGTAAGTTAACTACTGCGAAGTGTGTTTTGGGCGGCCACTGTGATCGGATCCTATGCCATTGTTGGCGACCCGGGGGTTTCACAGATCGTACCAAAATGCTGAGGACCAGGGGGTGGGGGTGGTTGAAATTACGGAAGTTTTATGGGATGAATAACAGGAAACTCCTGGGAAAAACAGGAGTGTTGGCAGGTATGATCACACATACACTCTGCACTCTGACTACTTCAATATTGTTGATAAGCCGTGCTGGGCATTTCACTCATGCTGAACGCTTTCGACCAATCGCAACAGGCAGTCATCAATCTTATCAGCGCAGATTAGCTACGCACTAAGGAGAGGTTTGGGAACAAATATAATCGCTGAACGATTTATATGGGAGTCACTGGGATAATTAGGTAAAAATAAATACACATTGTAAGACAATGAATGTGTTTTTTTTTTTGACCTTGCATGCATATTAGGCTGTTGTTGGAGCCCCTTAAAATCAAAATATGACCCTTTTTAATGTATGATAGTGGCTCTTTAAACAGCTATAATAATAGTGAAAAATTAAGCTGACAACTTTGCGGATATTACCTATTGTGTGTTATTTATAAGAATGTACCTCCCGTTATTAACGAGGGACCACTGTAATTGAATTCCATCTATTTACAGCACATTAGAAAAATAACATGTTAATTAATGCAGTTAGTAGGTTTTAATTAATGAATTAACATTAATATTATTATAGTATTAAGTGCATAACAATAATATAACATTTTTGATAAATTTCATAAAAGTTTAATTTATAAAATAAAATAAAAGTCTTAATAGATAAAGGTCACACTATGAAAACTTGTACATTTCCAGTGTAAACAGTTGAATTTATTATTTTCTATTAGGGCTTTTCTTTGTTTTTCAGCTTTAATGTAGTGTTTTAATAGTTGTTTTTTTTATTTGTCTATATATTTGTATGAAATGAATAATATTATTCTATACTATTAATAATTTGAAATGGTTTTATTTCATATTTGCCATTTTCATTTTTAGTAAATATTTTTCATTTACAGTAATTTCAATTTTTATTTTAGTTTTAGTATTAAATTAATAAAAATGATACGAATCTTCATATAAAAAATATTAACATGTTAAAATATTTGTAGTAATCCTTTTAATTAACTTTTATTTCATTCCAAAGGTACAAAAATGACTTAAGTTCCATGAATTTATTTTCTGTCCATTTTTAGTAATTATTTTTCTTAACGGGTCTGTTTAGTTTACATTTTTATTTTAGTTTAAGTGTTAACTAAATGAAAATGATACACATCTTTATGTAAAATAATTTACATTTATATATATATATATATATATATATATATATATATATATATATATATATATATATATATATATATATATATACACATTGTAGAAAATAGGTTCCACACAATTGATTTGTGTTGCGACAACATAAAGGATTTAAGTAAGCTTATTAGATTTCACAAATATAAGTGAATTAAACAACAAACAATTAATTTGTCTGGAAAACAAAAACAAGGATTGTGTTATTTCAGCTTATTTTAAGTAGTTTGAACAAACAGCAAACATAATTTTTAGATTGCATGTATTAATCCTTAGTTATCTTTTATTTCATTCCAAAGGAACAAAAATTACTTTAGTTCAATGATTTAAGTTTTTCTTCAACTATGATAGCCTAACTCCCTTTAACGTCACCAACACTGAGACAGTTATTTAACTAAATATAATACAGAATAATTCATTTAATTTCCACACAGTATTCCCACAGGGCCAAGACGGTCATAAAAAAAAAAAGCCTACTCGCTCCGTCATACAGACGTGGGCAGAAAACAGAGCACGGTGACAGGAAACACTGTGTGGGAGATCCAGAGCAGAATAATGTCCATTTCTATGAAAATCATCATCCATGATTTACAAGAGCCTTAATGATGCATACAGGCTTATAAGTCATCTAAAATGGCTGTAAAACACGATTTTCACCAAGTTAAGAGATGCATATATGCATGAAATGAGCATGCGGTGAAGTACTGTAAAAGATTGTTCAAAAAGAAAATGCTGACTATAAAATAATAAAGACTCATCAGGGTCTCCTGGGATTGATCTCGCAGAAACAGCTGCATCAAGTGAAGCACAGAGCGTTAAGCACATCGCAAAACACAATGAATTACACTGAAATGATGCTCGACAGATGAGACAGACAGAAAGCAAACCATAATTACACTTTCTCTGAATAAAAACACAAACAGGAAAAACTTGACTGGGATTTTTTTTAGGGTAAGACACTGGCAAAAACTTATTTTATTATACGGATTTCAATTTTGAGATCTTTTCATTAAATACTGAATTATTATTAAGAAAACATCCAAATAAGGCTTTTTATGTTATTTTGTTGCACTTTATCAATTTGTGCCAGTTGATTTTAATTATAATACATAAAATAAAAAAAATTAAACGGGGTTTTTGTTTCAAAATGAGCTTTTTTTTCTCCTGCTTTTGGCCATAAATCTTCACTTTAGCAGCACTTGCAAACACCAAACTGTACATTTTTTTATTTATTTCTCTATTTTGAATTATTTTACAAAAGTAAATGTTTATATACAGCATATACTGTATAGCAAGTGTGCAATGTGCTCTCGACATTGGTGGAAGCATACAGTTTTTACCATATATAAGTACACCCCTCACAAATTTCTCATTTAAATTCTTATTTTTAATAGGAATCTACACAATATTATATTTGTGCATAATACTGTAAATTAGATTAGTCAGAACTGAAGCCAAGTCTGGAGTTTATCTACCAAAACAATTTACGATAACGGTCCAAACACTAGTACACCCAAATTTATATGTTACGAAAAAAAAAATTATTATTATTATTAATAATAATTATTATTATTATTATTAATAATAATAATAATAATATTAATAATAATAACAAATTATATATATAAAAAAACAAGCTCTGGAGTCAATTCTTCTATATTTTAGAAAAGAATGACAACTTACCCTTCTGGGGCCGTTACTTTTTAATTCAAAAACATCCATAGTGTAGTTGACTCTGCGGCCGTAGTGGTCAAATTGGACATTTCCTGTTAATCCTTGGAGGTGCACCTGGATTACAGTGATAAACAATGTCATTATAGCTTATCCAACCACCGCAAAGCACTTCATTTACACATCCACTTGCTTTTCTGAACTTTAACCAGCTTTCTTCTGGAAATATCAACCCCACACCAGTGTTTCTCAAACTGTGGCTAATCGAAAAAAAGAACGCCTAAAAAAGGCCTCAAAAGTTAAAAGTCTAAGCACAGTCATGAGAGATGTCATGCTATAAATGGTTGAGTTCATGTCAGGCCTAATTACACATGAGCAAAAAGGCTGATGAATTCTGCCCGATGCAGCAACAGAGCAAGTAAAACAAGGCAGAGACAAACTCAAATTTACTTCTTATCTATCTGTAATTAAAAGCAATTAAGTAATTTGCTGCTGATAAAACACTGGTGACTCAGTTATTTTTGCATGTTTGACATGAACGTCCTGATTCCAGATGAATAAATAAAGTACTTATTTCAGATTATTGTGACAGTATAGTCAAGGTACTGTATATAGTGAGGGGCTCTGAATGTGAATTATTCAACATAGACTTTGTTTTGTGTTTTATATTAGTTCTGTTAGGATGGGCAGGGTCTTTTGCATTAAATTTCCAAATTTGTCCCTTGACATTCTTTTTTTTAATTTTATTTTACAATTGTAAGAGCAGTTTTTGTGATTAGCTCATTAATTATATCTCTCTTGTTTTTTTTAATGTGAAATACTCAAATGTAACCAACCGCAGTATGAATACTTTAAATTGTAACCAATACAAATTTTACATTAAAAAAGCTGTTTTACACATAAAAACAGGTTTCTTTTTATAATGTAGGGTTGATTTATTAAAACAAAAATCATATACTTTGTAATATTGCTGTTGATATTGTAATATTGTTCTTTATTTTTGATTGATAGAAAACCCTGTATAAAAAATGTGTGCTTGGGGAAACGGCATATCATCGTTTTTTTCTGCTTGCGAGTGTAATGCTGCATTCACACCAGACACGAACGAAGCGCCAAATGCGAGTGATTTACATGTTAACTCAATGCAAAGACGCGAATCAATACTGTTTTTCAGTCTTCGTAAAAGCAAATAAACACAGCTTTGCTCTGAATAAAATCCATGTTAGCCATTTAGCAACTAAGCTAGAGTCACCGGGCAGACAGAAGCCCTGCCCATGATGCGAATCTGCATCTATTATGAAGTGAATTTGACGAGCGAATAAAGCGAGTAAACTCAAAATGTCTATTTGGCAGTGCATGGTCACACGTCTATTTAAGCGTGAATAGTATGATTTTTCCGTGTGTACCGCGTCTGGTGTGAACACAGCATATAGGTTTTTTTTGTTGATTGTGAAAATTGATGCTATAGCTGCATGGAGAATTGGTTTTGGAAAAAGAGACATCTTGTAAATAACAGATTTTCCAGTGGGGGATTGTCTTTTGTCTCTCCAGGTGTGAATTATTCATGACCATTGTCACTCCCATGCGTATAGCTGAGATGACCCAAAAAAGATTTTAAAAAATGTAAATCATTGTAATGTTTTCTTTGAATGAGAGAACAAAATAATTTTTACATAATTGTGAAGTAAATATTCTATCCTACAAGACTGGTTACTCAGGAATCTTGTTCAGGCCCATTCAGTGTGTTTTTTTTAAATCTAATTTTATCAAAAAAAAAAAAAAAAAAAAATTCTCCAAATCCTACTAACTAGGCATAGTATTTTTTGTCCTTCTAAAAAAACGCAAGCTTGTACATTAATATTTCTCACATATTATTGTAGCACAGTTTGTGCCTAATACGAAAAAAATAAATAAATAAAAAATACATGTTGGCCAATACTATGTAATAAGTACCTGAAATAAGCACAAATGTCAGAGCATGTCAAAACATCTTAGGAGCCTTAAAATCACCTCAGACTCCAGAAGGTTAATATTACCTTGACTATAATGTTACTTTCACAGTTTGTTGTTTTTTGAATTAGCAGAACCCATTCATTTTGGACCCAGGTTTGAGATTGTGACTTATCTAAACACTTCTTCTTGGGCATAAGCTCACCAAAAATGTGTGTGATTGGTTATAATGATGAGTGGCACATAAACAAAATAAAATAAAAAATTAAATTTCATTTTAATCGTGACACCTCTAGGTTAAGCTTGATTATGACTATAAATTTGTAGGTCTTTTTTCTCTCAAGCTTCTATTAATTTCAACCGTGTTATGTTCTTTCTTAAAAAATGATCTTGGTTTAATAAAAAAGTGTGAGAAATCACTCTAGTTCTCACTATGTCTCTATCCATCGTCTTCTGACACCCTTTCCTGCTTTGGTTCTCGTTCTTTTCACCCTTATAGTTTCCTCCATTACACCTTTCCATTTCCTCAGCCATTTTCCACCTTCCATCAATTCAAAATTAGGCATTTCACATTTTTCAGCTTGTCGATTACTATTCTGCTCCATTTTTCCATTTGAGGTTTATTTCAGCTGCCACTGAAACATGTTTTCCTGCCTGTGTACTGTACGTGTGTGAATGTGACCTGTTTGAGCGTGCGCTCCATGTCGATGCCCTGGTTCCAGGGGGCAGCGGGGTTGGCCAGACAGTCTCCAGCGATGCCTCTGCGAGAGATGTCCACCTTCTGCCTGCGGAGGTTCCTGAAGGCCTCTGCCATCACCATGACCCCGTCATACGTCAGAGCTGAAGTGTACTGTACAAAGACAGGGTCATAGAAGAGTCAGCTTACACTGTACATTATACAGTAATGATTAAATCAGCTTTTCTTCTTTTGAACTGTGTTTTTTATTAAACTTTTTATAAACATAGTCTACACAAAACATTTACTTAGAACGTTTACACTTATAAAAATAAACAAATATTTAAAATAATAATAGATAAAATTTAATAATAAAAAATAAGGTAACAGTTTAGGTAACAATTCACAATATTAATAAACCATTAACACTAATAGCTTAATAACAGATAATTACTACTACTACTACTACTAATTACCCATTTATTAATAGTAAGGTAGTAGTTGGGTTTAGGTTTTGGGTAGAATTAGGGATGTAGAATTATCCATTTATTCATTTTCTTGTCGGCTTAGTCCCTTTCTTAATCCAGGGTTGCCACAGCGGAATAAACCGCCAACTTATCCAGCAAGTTTTTACGCAGCGGATGCCCTTCCAGCCGCAACCCATCTCTGGGAAACATCCACACACACATTCACACACTAGAGACAATTGAGCCTACCCAATTCACATGTACCGCATGTCTTTGGACTGTGGGGGAAACCGGAGCACCCGAAGGAAACCCACGCAAAGGCAGGGAGAACATGCAAACTCCACAAAGAACACCAACTGAGCCGAGGTTCGAACCAGCAACCCAGTGACCTTCTTGCTGTGAGGCGACAGCACTACGTACTGCCACAATCAATGTTTTGCAAAGTACTAGTTGCAAAGTACTAGTTATTTCACAATATTACAACAAGATTCATCCTGTTTTTATGACATCACAAAGCCTAATATGTCCTGACCAATCAGAACCCACTGCATACATATTTCTCAGCGTGTGTCTACACAGAAGTCAAAATAGAAAGACTGTTTAAGGAGAAAATACACAGTACTGTAGAATAAAGGTAAAATGTCAACAAGAAGTCTTGAATAATTGAAAATACAATAAACTTTAATTTGGCCACTTTTATATGAAACATTAGTTAAAATACAAATTATAAACAGTTATCATAGACAAGAAATAAACAGAGGAATGTTGCAACTGACCAATCAACATCAACCATGATCATTTTCACTTGAGTGTCTGCACTGTAACAAAACACTGTTTATTCAATCAACCTAATTACATTAGCTTTACACCAATGGAAGCCATTTGCAAGGGTTGAATAACCAAAATGGGGTTATGCGTCCTCATAAACAGAGGACAACCAAGTGAAATCATAGGGGACAACAGTCTGTGTTTTGCAGCTGCATCAAATGGAGAAAAAAAAGGAGAGCAAGGGGCCAACTGAAAACAGCACGCAATATAAAGCAAAGCCGCGACTCACACATGCTTGTCATTGCACATATTAGGAGCAGGAGGAGCATGTGAAATCAGTGCGCTGTGACACAGTCGCTGTGAGGCTCAATGGGTGAAGGGATTGGGGGAGGACGAATGGGATGGTCAGCTGCTATCGGACGCTGCCCTTATTGCACCAATAAGTGGCTTTCTCTCTCTGCCTCGCTGAGATAAAACACCACACAATGAATCACTGCAGGCAATGCATGGTATTTTTACAAAAAAAAAGAAGAAAAAAAAAACAATGTGTGTCCTTTAGAGGCCTGACATTTCATGCCCTTGCTTTTTTTGCTCTGCTGTTGTGTCTCTTATTGCTATTTTAGAGATTGTGACGTTGGTTTGTGTCGTGGAAGTGAGTCAGACAAGGTCACCTGGGCTTTTTGTACATATATGCGCGCCGACAGACCAAAAATACCCCTGTGTGTGTTCAGGTTGTCCTGCTGAAAAGGAGACGCTCTGGTGGTGCTTGGAGATGGATTTTGGTATTCCATCAGCAGATCTCTGGTGTATGAGATGGGACTCTCTGTACCGTTACAAACACAACACAAAACACGCAGAAAGAGCCCTGGGCTATAATGCCATACAGTGTGAACGAGATGGAGTGACAGAGTGGGATGGAAATGGAGAATGAGCGAGATAACAGGAGACAGATAACAGGAATAGAAGTGATGCAATATGCCGGTGCTAATGATGATACAGATTTTTTCTAAATGGAATTTTTATAGCGTTAATTAGGGGTGTCGAAATATACATGGATTGCTGGCTGTGTTATTTTATATTAAATTAAATACAAATAATACTGTGATAAACAATCAAATGCCAGTGCCATTATGGAGCACTAAACTTTTAAATGAAATTTGTTTCATTCATACTTGACACTAGAGGGTGCCCTTAGGCAGAGAGTCTAAAAGAAAGACTCATAGGAGTAAAATTTTCTGGTAAAATAAAACCAACCCAGGCTCATTCTGGAAACGTAGCCCCTCGGACGTTTCTGGAGGCCGCGATTTACGTGGCCGGAGGTACGTGCGGCCGCGTTTAGTTTTTTTTGAGCGAACGCTGCGGGGCGGTGTGGCGCCGCTCCGCTCCTCTTCTTCGCGCTCGCCGGCCGACGGCTCGCCTTCGAGTGGAAGGCTTTCCCGATGCAACCAGTTTGTCCGCTTAGCTCACAGCATTGCGTCGGCGGAGCGGAGGCCCAGGAGGAGGAGGAGGAGCCGGTCGCGGGGACGACAGCGGTTTCAGATAGAGTCCGGGGAACAGCGGTTCCAGAAATCAGGTAAGATGAAAAACAGAATCCGAAAAATAAGGGCGAGAACGCTGCGGGATCCGAAAACGCGGTCGAAATCGAAGACGAAGTCTTTTGCTTTTTTTTTTTTTTCTGGACGGCTTTTGCAAACCGTCGCATGGGTTTAGGGAAAGAGGAGGAGGAGGAGGAAGAGGAGGGCGGCCGATCCGGCGGCTTTTCGCGCGACAACAGCGCGGGCGCGAACGGCGCACGCTCCTGAGAGGCGCCCGGGACGTGAAAAAGCGCACACATCGGCCTCTCGTGGATCCGCGAAAACAAAAAACGCTCGAATACGTACCTCCCGGGACGTATCTCGTGGTCCGCAGAAATGTCCGCGGGCTACGTTTCCATAATGAGCCCGGGCTAAATATAAAACGAATGACGGTGAATGAAAGTCAAACCGGTGAGCCGTCTGACAAAAAAGTGCCCTTCTGAATGAAATCAGCAAAATGCCCTTCTGGATCTTTCACTTACTTCGAAGAATTACTGACTATGCTTACATTGACATCTGTAATCTACTTATTTAACTAAATAGACAATAATGTAATTAAGGTGTTTACATGAAGTGCTTTCATGTAAGAGTTTCCTGTAATTTTGGGTGACTTTAACTGCAATTCAGCAGTTTCACCTTCCCTAATGAACACTTCATTCATGCCCCCGTGACAAACTGGGGTATTAGAAAGCAAATAAGGAGTAAGGACTGGTGAGAGTGTTATGGAATTTAATAATGCACGCCAAATGGAAAGAAAAAAACCTCTGCATTTACTGACAGCCGCGTGTGTGGATCTTGTCGGAAAGTATGCTGAAAAGTCCTACATGACGGTAATAGTTTGATTGCGGTGTTTAATTCAATATTTCCACTAAAATATGCATACTCTACATCTTCTGTTTAGTCCATTTCAGTTTAGTTCAGTAATGACTTACTGACTAATGAATAGTCGGATTAGGTTAATCAAAAATCGCTGTTTTGAGCTTATGTAGGCCTACAGTTCAAAATTGATGTTTAACTGAATAAACAGTTAGTTAACATAAGTACATCATATAGAACATCATTTATTTTCATCACCAATTATCATAGTAGAACAGTTTCTCAAGCAGTTAGTGATGCATTTTGGAAACAGTAGATGAGCCCCTGGTCTAATGCGCCACCTGGCTTGAGAAACCCGTTCTCAAAAACTTACTTTTAGCCACTTTTAGCCTTCGGCAGGATTCAAAGGATCCATTTTAATCTTGATTAATTCCAAGATTACAGTGAGAATAATCTAGATAAAAAAATTTATCTATGCCCACCTATTATAAATATAGATCATCACCGGTTATTACTTACTGTCGTACTCGTATGCGCTATGTCCCAGTTATTAAAATGCTCCAACTACTTAAAAAGCAGACAACTTTGCACAATTCACTGCACGTAAGTTTGTTCATGTGGGTTTCCTCCAGGTGCTTCGGTTTCCCCCACAGTCCGAAGACATGCACTTTAGGTGAATTCAATAAGCTAAATTGGCCCTAGTGTATGTGTGTGAATGCAAGAGTGTATGGGTGTTTTCAGTGTTGGGTTGCAGCTGGAATGGCATCTGCTGTGTAAAAGATATGCTGATAAGTTGATGGTTCATTCTACTGTGGCAACCCCTGGTTAATAAAGGGACTAAGCTGAAAATAAAATAAATAAATGACATTAAAAAAAGAGTACTTTCTTTAAGCAGGTTTTGATTATGCTACGTCATTTTGGTACAGTAGCTGCTCACAAAATTTGAAGGAGAAATTGCAAAAGGCACAAAATAAATTAGTACGAATAATTTTAAAAATGCATCCTAGAGCACATTTGAGCAAAGAGTCTTTTAATAAATTAGGTATGTTAACTGTTAGTAATAGAGTGTGTTTTTTAAAACTGGGAATGGTACGTAAAATGTTTAATAATGTGGTTCCTAGCTATTTGATGAACTATTTTCAAATGGTGAGGCAACAGCATTCATACAGTACTAGGAGTTGGGATTTTAATATTTGTTTATTTAAATTTAGAAGATTAGTGGGGAAAAATATGTTTTTATATACAAGTGCAATCATGTGGAACAAACTACCAAAAGCAATCAAGGAAATAAAAGATTTAAGGTTGTTCAAAAAAGCTATTAAAAGATGGTTGTTTGATGAGGATAATTAGTTTTGCATGGTGGGTGAGGATCTTTTAAATTATGTTACTTGAGTGTGAATAGGTTGGCGGCTGGAGTGACATTGTGCTGGATAGGTTGGCTGTTCGTACCGCTGTGGCGACTGTTTGTTTTATTCTTCATTAGTATTATGAAGCCATACATTGTTTTTATTTAACAGAGGACCACAATGGAAATAAGCCCAGGGCTTTA